AAAAACATTTATCAAGTTTTCATCCTGAGAGCTCCAATTTTGTGCTTTTAGCAGAAAAGACCAAGACTTTTATCAAGCTAGACAGATATGAGGTTCACATCCACTGTGAGTCTTTGACTGTTTGTCAATAGAGGAAAAAAGAGGAGTGGGATTAGTAGTTAAGAGTAGGAAATGTACTGGAAATGTATTTTAGTAATTCCATACATCAAATTAATTTGTTCTAAATAAATAAGAACCTCAAAGTAATCCCTGATGCAATATTGGTCCTAAATGATTGAGTATTTTCGAATAAACAAACGAAAAGAAGATGAGAATAGCAAGCATCCATCAATCAAAGTTATGCTGTTCCCATCCCAGTCCACATGTTGAGGCGTCTGGACCCCCATATTTACCCTGACGCCCTCATCAGAGAGGAAGTGTGTGCAGGAGAAAGAAAATGGCTCGGTAGATGGAATGAAAAGTGTTGTATGAGGGTCTGAATGGGTGTTTGAATTGTAGAGGGCTCAGACTGGTAAAATATGACAGTAAAAGGCAATTTCCTTTCCTTTAAATCTCACCCACACAGTTACTCTGGGACCACGCAGGCTGTTGCAACACCCTTGCCTCTATTCAGGTCTTTGGTCTGTAGACATCCGTCTGAGCAATAGTCTGGCAAAATTTAGCACATTTTCTATGAAAGATGTGATAATCATCTTAAAAAAACAAAACTTTCATACTTGAATGGGGTTGTGTTATTTTTTTACCTGCTGTAACACTCAAATTTCCCCTTTGAGGAACAAAGGAATATCTTATCTTATATTTGAATCTTTGCTCTTGTTTGATCTGATTGTGAAATTTAAGAATTAATTTGCTTTATAGTTTAAATAGAAATGGTTCCGGCAGAGTCGGGAAGCTCAACTCCCACATAGTGCAAAACAACTTTCCCAGTAATGCGCTATTTTCTGTTTTCTTTTACTTTTAAATACTACATTTGGTCCATCAGTACCACGACAACTGGCAACTGTGTGGAGTCTTGCTGGGAAACGTGGCTTTAGGCAAAACCACTTATAGGCAAAATTGTGGCCAAATGACAAAATGATCAGGATCATTACCCAGGGGTTATATAAGGTCACGGTTCTATGCCAGAGTTAAGAAAAAGAAACAAGAAAAAGAACGGACACAAAAGCAACCCTTTTTTATTTTTGCTGATTATTTTGCATCAAAACTGTTTGTGTAAATGTTTAATTTACCTGTTTCTCCATTACTCAGCAATTATGAGCCCCTGGAATGCCTGTTAATTAATTTTCTTATTTGATTTCCACAATTCTTTTTTTAGAATTTCTCGCTGTAGTGCCATCAGAAGAAGTGGATGAGGGCTACAATTGCTTCTTTGGCCAGTTCAACCAGTACTCCCAATGTCCTCTACTGAAACTTCTCCCATGTGGAATGAAATGGGGAGATCATACCAGGGTGGGGCGGACTTGAGGAGTCCCGCTCCGACGTGTCTCTTTTTTTTCCCCAACCACGAAAGTGAGGGGACTGAGATGAACCGTGGAGCGCACTGTACGCGTGTTTTGGAGAGAGGCAATGTCACCTCTCGCCGCCGCACTGTAACGCAGACGTTTGACACGAGACAGCCCCCTAGGTGTCTCACTTCGTCAGCGTTTGTCTGGACCGGCTGCGCGCTGCGCGTCTGGCTGACTGGTCTGCGTTGACGTCAGCGCCGTGTTGATTTGCTAAGGCGAGAGAAGAAAGGAGTTAGTGCGCGTTGAGAGAGAGCGGGTACTGCGAAACTGCCTTACTATGCTGTAGCCCCACACACTTCCCCCCGTGCACTATACGGAGTCAAAACGTGCAACTTAGGTGAGTACCAACCCGGGCGAAACGCAGTTGCAGTTACCCAGCGACAAGTGCCAGACCCCGCTACTCTGCATGCGTCTTCCACTGTTTTTTTTTTTTTCTTTTCTCTCGTGTATACTTTCATTCACCATATGGATGTTTTTTTTTATGCGTGCATTTACCAGCAACCTCTAGCCGAAGTTGCAAGCAAATCCTGCGACTTTGGCGTGCAACTTGGACCCGCGCGCCGGAGTTTCTGGGCGAAAACAAGTGTTTACCTGATTGCGCCCCAAGGTGTTGAAGTTTACATTAACGCGCCGTAGAGCCTATTGTAGAGATGTTAAGGTTGACGTAACCCCCCCCCCCCCTCCACCCCCCCCACCCCCCCTCCACCACCACCACCCCTTCTCTGTGTCTGGTTAGTATTCTGGAGATCGCAGTCAGAGGACGTGAGGTCTGGCTATTTCACCGTGAGCCAGACAGCTCATGACGCCGAGGCTGCGCGTCATTCAGTTGAATGGAGAAATCGCGTTTTGGGGGCGAAAATTTGTGCCATTTTTCCCTTGGCAGCGACACTCTTGTCCGGTCCTTGTGTCTGTGAGCGCACCAGTGTGGGCTTATTTAGCCGTGATGACATCACGACGACAAAACCGGAGACACCGGTCTTCACACACCAAACAAGCCAAATAAATCAAGCCGCTGTTAACTCCCAGACCGCCGCTGATTGACAAGCAGCTAGATGTGTGTGTTTGGTGACCAATAATTGGCTCGTCTCAGCACGCGCGGCGCGCTGCGAGGTGGGGAACTGTTAACGCATTGGCAAATTGATTTGTTATCGAATCGGTCTGATATCTTTCTCTTTTTATTTTTTCTCCCCCTTTCACGCCTTGTCTCTTTCACCTCGGATCCCAGACCGTACCTGCGCCTCCCTAAAACCGAAAACAAGGCGGCGTTTGCCCCTTAAACAAAGTCCACCTGTGCGGTTCCTGGAGATGAAGTGGGTTCCAATCGCGCACATCTTGCCGTTTCGCGTGCTTACTTTCCTCTACGCTGAGTCTGTCTCAGGTAGACTCTCTTGGAGACGCGGAACCATTTTTTATTTATTTTTTTTGCCCTCTCCACGTTTGCTGTCTGTCAGCGTGTCTCGCGATGTGGATTATTGAGCAGCGTTTATTCCCGTCGTGGCAGACAAACTCGTGATTGGATTGATCGCGCTTGCCTTCCCTGTGAAGTCTGCCTATTATGGTTATTGTCAGCGATCCGTGTAGTCTCTTAGAGAATCTCTCACCGCTCGATGTATTGTAGCGCGAGTTGTTTTGGATCATGCGTAACCTTGAGTAGAATTCGTCTGCTGTGTGCGCGACCGGTATTAACGCCGTCTAGACGCACGGAGCCCCCCGCTCCATATTAATAGAGACCAGACAAAGTCCCCAAAATAGCAACTTTGCATCGCGCCCCTGGTGAATCCGCAGCTTCACGGAGCGCAACAAGCATCGATCATTCATAGGGCCACGGATCGGAGCTGTTGGCAAACACGCAATAAAGATAATGTAGGGCTTTGAGGGCTTGATCTCTGCTTACCGAGAGGCTGATCTCAGTTAGAGGAAAAACCTGTGGTTTCATCATTACCTTCCTTTCTGTGTCGATTTTGTCAGCGTTCCAAAAAAGACAAATCTTCCAGTGCCCTAAAAGGCATGGGCAAGGTTGTGTTTTGGGATTCTCAGTGCAAACAATAGGTGCCAGCATCGTGTACCTCCCTCATATCCAAATTTCGGTCTGTTTGAGGGAATATTTCTGACTTTAGTTCTGGATATTATTGTATTTTCATCGAGAGAGTGTGTATTTATTGTCTTCTCACACGTGGAAGTGGTAAGGAAGTGTTTAACTTTCTTTTAACGTCTATTATAGATACTTTGAAAATGAAAATCGTTTAAGAAAAAGTTCCCAGAAATGTGAATTTCTTGTCAGACTTAAATTAGCTGGTACATATATATATATATATATAGTGATCCTAAATGCTGGTTGATTGAGCAGGGGAAAAAAAAGGTGTCCTCAATGTGCTCACTCAGAATGTGGGTCAGTGTAGGTTTCTTAGCTACTAGACATTCATTCTTTCGCTCATGTATGTCCAGTGTGTGCTGTTCCAACAGTCTTTCTTTAGCTGGAATTTAAAAATGGAGCAATATGTCTTCCTAAAAAGCTTGCACAGAAGGCTTTTTTTCATCATTTTTATTTTAATTCATGCTGTGGTCAGACTGTTAATTCAATCTGGGCCTGTCCTCGTTATTTAGTGTGAGTCCAAAAAATGCTTTGGAAATGAGTTGGTGCAACATGTTGCCCTGTTAACTTAAATAATGAAATTACCACCGGGCCACAAAGAGGCTTATTCATTTTAGATTGTCAACATTAGTGACTGAAAGCAGAACGGGGGGGTTCAGTGCAGTAGTGTTGTGTGCTTTTGCCTCATCCTGCTTTCTTTTCCACACATTTCTGCCCGCTGCTCTCTGCTCCCATCTGTGATGAGAATACTGAGTAAGATGCTATTTAATTTCAGAGAGGCTGCTGACGGTCTTTGTGAGCCAAGCAGCAGTGAAAGCCCACAATTCGCTCTTGTTTAACTGGTGTACAACCCCATCAGATAAGCAAACGAAGACATCTTTTTAGCATCACATATGTTGGACTTATTAGTATGTAGCATGTGTCTGTTGGACAGCTCTCTCATCAAACACAGTCAGCACGCTGTGCTTCTTTTAAGAACAATGTCGCTGCGCAGGTTGTTTACAGTCCCTACAGGATGTCTGCAATTTGAGATTTCAGTCACTTTGCATCTGATGAATACATGTTTGTGTTCATCAGGTACATGTTTCAAATGTAATGTTAATTGAAAATGGGGGGAAAAAAGGATCTTTACTTCTGTAAATGATAACTTGACATACTGGATTTGCATTTGCGCTCACTTTTGCATTTATTTGAATAAGGGCTTACATATGTTGGCTTTGAATGTAAGAAATAAACTGTCAGTTACATTTTTGTGTGTGTTTATATTTAAATGTATTTTTTTCTCTTATTTCCCCCCAGGTTTCATCTTGTTTACAAAGACAGTTACAAACTCTGCTGAGCAGGAAAGACTAGCCTCATGAGTCGGCGTCGTGGATTGCATCGACATAATGGATTTAGCTAAAATGGGTATGATCCAGCTTCAGAACCCCAACCACCCCACTGCCCTGCTTCACAAGGCCAACCAGATGCGTCTGGCTGGGACTCTGTGCGATGTCGTCATCATGGTGGACAGCCAGGAGTTTCACGCTCACCGGACTGTGCTCGCTTGCACCAGCAAAATGTTTGAGATCCTCTTCCATCGCAGTAGCCAGCATTACACCCTTGACTTTCTTTCACCAAAGACTTTCCAGCAGATTTTGGAGTACGCTTACACTGCCACGCTCCAGGCAAAGGTGGAGGACTTGGACGACCTCCTGTATGCAGCAGAAATCCTGGAGATCGAGTACTTGGAAGAGCAATGCCTGAAGATCCTGGAGACCATCCAGTCCTCTGACGAGAATGACGCAGAGGCCAACGCTAATGACGGGAGCACGGAGGAGGACGAGGACCGCAAAGGCCAAAACGGAGCTAAACACTCTAAAAAGCATTCCATGGAGAGTTCTAGTCTGTCAGGTACCCATCACGTCTCCAACATGAGCGGTGTAGTCGAGCAGAGTCCCTCTGTCTCCACGTCCTACGGCGTCTCCAACCTAAGTCCCACCAAAGCCGCGGTGGACAGTCTGATGAGCATCGGTCAGACTCTGCTGCAGCAGGGCTTTGGCGGCGAGCACCTCGTCCACGGCAACTCCCACCACCTGATGGGCGACATCAAGACCGAAATGATGCAGGTCGACATGGGAGGCAACGGCCACGACAGCCCCCAGAACATGGAGTCCGGCACCTCCAGCAACGGAGAGCGGAGCGGAGAGGACAGGAACCGAGACGGTCCCGGAACACCGACCAGGAGCAGCGTGATCACCAGCGCCCGAGAACTGCATTACGTCCGCGACGATGGCATGGGCGATCAGCAAGCTGATGTCAGTCAGATGGGATTGGAAGCGATGGCCGGAATGACAGAGAAACATTTGGCCTCTCTGTACTCCCTGCCAGTCAATCACAAATCAGACGCCATGATGTCCATCCCAGTGTCCATGGCCTCAGCTCTGCCCATGTCCCCAGCCCTGGCTATGTCTATGGACTTCAGTGCCTACGGGGGACTCCTGCCGCAGAGCTTCATCCAGAGAGAATTCTTCAACAAGCTCGGGGAGCTGGCAGTAGGCATGAAACCTGACGGCCGGAACCAGCATGAACGTTGCAATGTCTGTGGCGCAGAACTACCTGATAACGATGCTGTGGAGCAGCACAGGTAAGTCAGGTTTTTTTTTTTCTTGAATGGCTGTCTGGTACTTGTTTTTATTTATTTAAAATGCATTTTTCCCATTCAGAATTTGCACATGTTGTTGGAATTATTCCGATTTAGATTTTTATATTATTTGCAGCATTATGTGAAAAGTTGATTTCATACAAGAATTTACAGGCACATCAATAATTTATTAATATTATTATATGAATTAAATGGGGAAGAGCGTATTCATTAAAAAAAAAGTTGTTTCGTCAGCTTGCAAAACACTAAATGGCTCTTATATTGCTTTTTGATGATATTGTATAATTCTCTAAACTTTCAAAGTTCTTTGTGGCGGACAGCTCAGGTCTAGAGATGCACTCCCTCCGTTATTGGCCACCTTGCCCAGGCGACTGCCGTTGCAGTGCTGTTTTAAAAACGTCCAAAACTATTAGTCACACCTTCCGAGATGTGGGAGGCAGCGATCACACACACTTCCCAATGTGGAATCCCTCATCCAGGACCGCGCTCCCCTCCTTTTTCCCATAACTGCACAAGGGAGGCCCTTATTAGCTTGATAAGTGGAGTGGATGGTGGCTCAGGAAATGAGTGCTGAACCTGGGCCCTGAGACAAGGAGCTAGTTTTAGGACAGGGGGGTGGCAGTGTACTGGTGCTGTGCTCTTGCTAGGAGATCATAAAAATAAATCTTAAGGCCTACTGGTTTCACTGAAAAAAAAGAAACATGAAATATGTTTTATTAACTTCGCCTTCAGTAGTTTATGTTGCTGTTCATTGCGCTTTGTCATGGTAAATACCTCATACACTGATCATGGCAATCATTGCTATGTGGATTTTGCAGTAAATTTTTCTTTCTTTTAACCTTGAAGGCCACTTTCTTACTCTGCAAAGCATTTGTCCCCATCCCGTCATTCCTGTCATGTAACTCGGGATAGACGGCTCAGAGCTGAACCAATTCAGTCCGAGATCCTCAGTTTTTTCTAAATCTGTCACATGGTTGTCTTGACAAAAACACTGAATATTACAGAATCGCATTTACTCACGAGAGAGGTGTCCTTGTTTGAGTTGTCTCAAAGCGTTACTCCGCAGTGTTTCTCCAACATTTAATAATGGCAGTGAAGTCACTCACTTTCTTTGTGCTCAGTTTCCTCTGAAGGTCTACGATTTTGTGTGGCCTTCGAGGCAAGTGCCTGTTCTTTGTTTAACAAAAAGATAACTTCTGCATAAACAGATAAATGTTCATCATGAGTGGGGGAAAAAAATAATATCGGCTTACTTTTGAGATTCTTATAAAGACGTATTTCCTTGCTTTAGAAAATACTCTTTAGTCTGTGTGTAAGAGACAGTAATGTAGTCTTGCAGTGTTAATGGACAAAAGTCTGGGCGTGTGAAATGGTTGCCTGTGTTTCAAGAGGAATTTCATCAATTCGCTCAAGCTGGGAAATCTTGTATCAAAGGAGATTTCCAAACCGTTTCATGCATTGATCTCCTGCTTCACCCCATAGAATACTAATTGGTTAATTTAAACTGGTTTATACACCGGCACGACACTGTTTAATATTACATGTGCTGTCCTGACAGCCTCCTGAAGTGCAGAAATCAAACATTGCATCATCCACTGCCTGGTTTTCCGTTTGCACATGAAAGCTCTGCTTGATAATTCAGACGATCCTCGTGTCCTCACAAATTCGTCTCTGGGTCATTTGACGGCAGATCCAGTCAATTTTTCTTTTCTTTGCACAGCTTGTCAATCAGCTGATGCTTTTGATGTTGATATCTGATGCTTTATTTCAGACAATCGGTGTATTCTTCGCTCTGAATAATTTTGCATAATGTCTCGGCGGCCGCTGTGTCACAGTCATCGTTACCCCTGCGGAGAAACACAAAAAAGTTGTAAAAGTTGACTCTGTGCAGGAAGGTTAAGTAACACGTGAACACAATTGTGTCCAGATGTGGCACCGCTCAGTGGTGTGAGGTGTCTGTGTGTGTGCTTTAATGCTGAAATGAATACACCAGAAAGCACCCACTTCCTGGATAATTCTAATCACTGCTCACTTTCCTTACCGTTACCTGGAGTGTATCATGTTAAAGCCCACACTGGTGTGGGTGTGTACGTGTTTGTTTGTGTGTGTATGTATATATATATATATCAGTTGCCTCTCATTTTTGTAAAGCTGGGGGGGTAATTTTATTGAGGAGTGGCTCAGAGGAAGGACAATAAAAGAGGCTGTCTTATATCTCCATTTTGACGATAAGACAGTAATGCCGAACTATTTAAATAACACTCAAACCGAGAAGATGATCAACAAGGGAAGGCCAAGGGTGATTATTGAGTTAATAAATGCATGATGCAGGGGACCAAATCTGCAGAGGCAGAGCAGAAGAAGGGGGAAAAACCTTCCTCTGCTTGATATTCCAAACACAGCATCCAATTCACAGGAACTAGCCTTGGGTTTATCTCTTTCACTTAATCGTCCATTCTCATGCAAATGACCGACCCTGGCTGTAATGTACATCGTATAAGTGAAAAAAAAGAGCTTTTCCACCATATAGCCTTTAAACATGACTGATGACCATCATTGTTTTTATTTTTTTCCATAAAGCTCCTGTTTTTTTTGTTATAAACGTTTCTCTTTTTTTAACAGTCAGGGGAACACATTCATCAGAGACTTTGACAGAATCACGCCTCTCCCCTTTTTGGATTATTCTCTTTATTTATTTATTTTTATTGTTGAAGGTGGGGTTGGGGTTTAGAGTTGTGGGAGTTTGGGAATAATCACCCCTACATAAACCTCCGCACGCGCACACACTCGTGTTCATTACTCTTCACACACATTCCCCTCAGCAGCAGCAGCAGCAGCAGCGCTCGCTCCTCCATTTCCTCTCCTATTGTGGCGACGGGGGACGGAGGGCGCTCTAATACCCCAGGCCCCAGGTGTTTAAACGGCAAGCCCAAGGCCCTTATCTGTGCATATCAGAGTGAGACAGATAACCCTTGGCAATCCTTCTTAGTAAAACAAGAGCAGCTTTAGCCCATATAGCGGTCTGTAAAGTTTGTTGCAGGTAATAGAATATATACATACACAAAGACATATACACATACCTTTATTTATTTATTTATTTATTTATTAGTAGGAATGTGTACACTGTTCTTAAACACGAACAACCATTTATATTTGATTTTAGATCGTATTGATTTTGATGCTCACTCCAAAAAAATAGTCAACCTTTAAAGATTTAATTTACAAATCACTTTGAAAGTCAAATTGTGATCTCAACTTTATTTTAAACTAACAGATGGACTAAAAGTTTTGTATATTTCCTCTGCGAGATGTTGCATGAAGTTCGAAAAAGAAACAGAAAAGCAATGTTGGTTAGGAAACAAACTGACTACCTTTAATTAATATTGAAGGTATTACCATAAAGCAGTTCTGAGTTGACTGAATACATTGAATTCATACTGTAAATGTCAAACAAAATGTTTTAGCCCGATTGGTGGTTAAGAGTCTCATAACAGCAGCTGCCATTCGTGGAGTAAATGAGCTCCTTCCACGCTTAAGTGGGGATCTCCAGGTTGTGTGTAACTTGAATGCGTGTAGAAATAGTGAGTTGTTTATCACCGCCTGCTTGCTGAAAAATATAGTGGTTGATGTTTTTGAGAGGTGGCAGACCCAGAGTGGTATGTGCAGAACCCCAAGGCAGCAGTCTATAGTGATTGTTGACAGCACTATCAGAGATTTTCTTCAATTTTCCCTGCTCCACTTCATAACAAGACAAAAAAATCCATATATTCTGTAGTTGGAGAAAGGATGGATAGATATGAATGATTCGAAGCCAGGACGATCTTTATTGTCTCGGCCGTGCTCACTGAATACAATATGTCATCTGCAATAAAAGATCATGAAAAACAGCAGGCTTGTAGTCCTAACCTGTAAAACTGCAAGCGTTTTCCTTCTTGCTGAGAACCACCTGGCAACAAAGCATCCATTACATGGCAGTGGATTACCCCCTATTTGAAATCACTCAGTGAGCTAAGTCTCCCCAGCTTGCACTCAGAGGTACAGTACATGTTGGTGTAATAATCCAACAGCACAAAAAGCCTCACTCAACAAAAACACCTCTCCAAGTAATGCCTAAGCCACAGACGACGGCAGTGGGCTTTTTTTTTCGAATCTGGCTTTCACGTCATCTCTCTTTTTATCCCCGCACAGGTGCTTTTTTCTGCCCTTATTGGGGCCGCGGTGTTTGTTTATGCCCCTTGAGGGGCTGCTGCTTTGACCGGGCCCACGTTGATGGCCACAGCCGAGGCAGCTGCTGGCTGAGGCCCAATTATAGACAGGCTTTAAAAGGCTCTGGTTGAACCGTAAAGATTTACACCGCCATCGCTCTGATCTCAGATCTTGGCTCTGTCCTCACTGTCAGGATAGGGAGATGTATCGATTAAAGACTTAACACGGGGGGCTACATCATGTGGAACGGACTACACACACCCACAAACACACAAACACATACCTTAGGTCACATCAGGCTTTTTATTGTTGCACATATTGCGGTCTGCGATATCATCAAATGGAGAAAAAGAATCTGTCTTAAAAAAAAAAAAGAAATATGGAATGTGAACAGCTAAAAGAAAGAGGGGGAAATCAAGATCGACTGTAAGGGTTCTAATATACAGAAAGTAGCCACAGCAATGGCAGGGAGCGATCTAATCACCCTGCTGATTAGATCGCCTTCTTCTCCTTGAAAAGAGCGGAGGGAGGGCGCTTGTGAAGTCAAACTTAGCAACATGACTTGGTGCGAGGAGCTGTCTCTGTTTGGCCAACAGGGCCTGGCAGACGTGGCCTTTCTTCTGCCGTCTGGCATGGACCGCTATATGAAATGAGCATATTGAGGCCCCTGCGTGTTGGGGAGACCCAAGTAACGATGACTCAAACGCTGAAAATCGTGTGCAAGCGCTGGGGATGCTGCCTTTGTTTGTTTGCAAGAGGAAGGGTAGGGGGCTCAATAAAGGCTCAGTCAGGGAGTACTAATTACATCTGGTTATCAGGTGACATGCAAATGTGTTATTGGCCTTTACTTCCTGATGTCTATCTCCAGTCCCAGAAGCTGTTGTGAGCTGTGGCTGGGCACTGCTGTGTTGTCTGTGGGGAATCCTGTTGTGAATTCATAAATACTATTGATCTTCTCCATTTTCGGAAGCCCACATTAAACTCCAAAGCCCTGCATTTCTTTTCAGACTTTGTTACTGTATTAATATCCATTACCCCTTGTCAGTGTTCTCCTTTTTTGTTTTTTAAGGTGTCAATAGAATAAGAATGATGCGGCGTGACAGTGAGTCTTGGTTCTGGTTCGTAGAGCCTCCTGGATCGGAATACTTCTAATCCTATCGATGTCCCATTAGCATCCCATCTCTGGGTCCTGGCCTCATGAAAGGAGATATGGTGGTTCCTTGTCTCTGATTCTATTGGCAAACTGTGAAGAGGAAGGTCACAAAGAGTAAATGTGCTACAGCCAAAGGGCCATCCCATGTGTGCTCACAAACGCCCTGTAAATGTGTGTATATGTGCATGTGTGCAAAAGCTGCCTCTGCCACCTCGGAGGCCCCACTAGCCTCCCTGGGAAGTATCAAAAACCCTTGGTGGCTTCCAGTGAGAGAGCTTCTAATTAGCCTCTTTGTTGCCACTTGAATGGTTTGCCAGAGGTTGGCAAGGGGCCCCAATGAAGTGATACCAACACGCTAAGAAGCTGGTCATAAAAATTACACACCCACTTTCTCTCCCCCCATCACCTGCCACAAAGGAGCTCTCAGGTAGGAAAATGAGGACAAAGCGACATCATGGAGGCTTTTTATCCTCTTCTTTAGAGAAAGAAGAGCCACATTTTGCAGCTGAGTTTAAGTCGCCGCAAGTGTTAATGACCCGCTCATATAATGAAAGATGGAGAGAAGGCATCCTGGATTGCTTCCAGTGATCATATTGTGCTCGAGCCCAAAATTGAGGTACTTGCACTTTGGTTCTTTTCTTTCTACCTGACTCTACAAGTCAGGGACAAATGATAAATTAATGCCACTACTCTACTTTGTAGAGCAGTTTTAAATGGTCTTAAACGCTTACAAAATGACTCAACACAATAAAATACAACTTACTGTCTCTTTGGCCTCAAATTCCTTGTGGGTAGATTCAGGTCAATTCAATTAAGTTTCATTAAATAACCCCAAATCAAATACATCACTTCAAAGTACAAGTGGACAGTAACAGCCAATAAATAAGATAAAGAATTGACAATTAATTGAATGCAGTTCTAATATATACCATTGCATAGACATAGACATGGAGATATAATACTGGACCTACCCATTAAATGAAAACACCATGAAACCAATGTACGAGTATCTGCACACAGGTTTAAAAGTTATAATGGCATATCTAAATTCTGATTTGTTTTACAAACCAAAAGAACATGTAATCGCAAATACTCTTAAAGGACCTGAATCTTGCAAACATACACATTCTGTGTTAGTTGGACAAATGTAAGATCATGAATCATTTGTAAGTTTAAGATTTTATGTGGTTTCTGTAGTTCTCTGCTTTTTATACTATTGATTGTCCATAGTACAAATGGATGACGAGATGTTGCTAATTAATGTTAACATTATTGGAATATATATTTAAATGCTTTTACTGAGTTGTATATCATGTTTTTTTCAAAAACCTTGTTTTTGTTAATTGCCTAGATACTAAGAGTTAGATTGAAACTGTTTACATCCAATGGTTTTCATTTTTTTTTCATGTTTTTATTATTGGAATTGACGGTTTATTGTTTTATATATAGTTTTGCTGCTAATTCAGGAAGGCATTTGCAAATGATTTTCCTGATTTATGGTTTCATTTTCATAGCTGTTTCTTTTGGCTGCAAATTATTAGTATTCAGAGATTGGAAAAAATACTACTTCCCAAGACAGATATGGTTGCCTGACTATTCAAAAATGACCCTCAGAGCTATACTTGTAGGTAGCTGATGTGGCTCTGAGCGAGCTCCGTGGCAGGAGTGCAACGAGTGTCAAGACGACTTGCAGCTTTAGCGTTGACCGACACGTTTTAAGCTCTGCTGTAATCCAGGAGGGATCAGTTGGGTAAATCATGGTATAAAGCTTAAAACCATAATTGATTTATGTATTTGCTGACCGAAGACGCCTAGAGAGATTACTAGAGGGAGAGAGCTGATGACGGATAGGCCTGTTCCCCCCCCCCCCACTCCGTGACAGACGCTGTGCGTGAGGTGGGGGGTGAGTTTGGTTGAAGGCAGATTTGTCTGCCTGAAGAGGAAGGCTGTCTGAAAACAGAAATGATAGCATGTATCATCAGAGGTGCAGTTTTAACATTCTTATGTTGAAAGGGGTTTTGCTAGTGAAAAGATTTTCCACACACTTCTCTTGTTTTGTGTTATTAGCATTTTTTCAGATACAAAACGCTCTTAATTTGACAAAGTGGACTTTTTTTAACTTCTGTTTACTTCCCAATGGCCTCCAAACAAGCCAAAAACTGTCAAAGCTGTTCTGTTTTTTGGGGGGGTAGACATTTTCGGACAAGCTATTTTAAAATTAAGTCTTTGAAGTACAAACTGTACATTTTCCTTCTTTTATTTGCATTACTTTGATCTACAAATATGAAACTTATCCATAAGCTACGCTCAGGTATCTGGGATACATGTAGGGAAATTTTAGTGTTTATATATTAACTGGATAACAGGGTTTAACCGAGAAGCTCGCATTGAGATATTGGATCTTTTTCAAGGAAGTTAAAATAACAGTTAAAAGCATAGTTACAAAAAAATAAATAGATAAATACAAATTAAATCGAAAGCATTATGGGAAAAGTATAAACTCACAATCTAAAGAAATGTAAGTATTTGTGAAGAAAAACAAACTACTGTGAG